CATTTATACAGAACTTGTAGAACATTATACAAACAAGGCTTTATGTTTTCCTGTTAAAGTTATGGATTGGATTCCTATGGACGGTTCATTCTCAAAGAATACAGATAGTTCAAGTGCAACATTTACAGCAGCTTATACGCCTATTAATGTTAAAAGTATTTGGGCACTATTTAGAAAGAAAGACAACTATTATGTTAATTTTGAGAACCCTAAGTTTAAATATCTTCAGCTTTCCATGGGAGCTTATGGAAATATGCCTGCAGAACCTGAAAAATCATATGGACCTGTATTTTATGAAATGGTTGCGAACGCTTGCAATACAAACAATGATATGATAGGATTTAATGAAGATGTTATGAGGTCATTGGTGGATGATGGTAGTGTGGAACATAAATGGGATAGCTATGACAACACACATTTCTTATGTGGTTTTCCAACTGAAGTGGACTTTTGCTTCCAGCAGGGTCAAACATCTACTGCTCCAATAACATACAAATTGTCTGTTAAAGGACCTATTGAACTAGCAACTGAAAATGTACCAAAGCCACTTATTGGATTTATGAGGGATTGTTGCTTTGCCATTCAGGTGCGTGCTAATGGCATACCAATAATAAGACTTGACGACTATAACTTAGCTGCGGACGACAGTGAGGAATAAAGGATGAACGTTTATTTTTAAAGATTATAAATGAGTTCTTCATCAAGCTCTCGTGAACCTTCACCATCTGTGAAACAAACTTTACCAAACAATTATGGAGCACCTATTGAATATTTCTTACGAGCTGCACAATGGCAAAGAGCAGTCTCACCAAGGTTAGGTGTTCCACCAGCTCCTGTCAAAAATAGCATTTGGTCAAGTCCCTATATAATATATGGTCTCCCACTAGGTTTGCTAGCTACAGCAGGAGCAGTAATGATGTTGAAAAGAAATAAAGCAAATGTTGTAAATAATACTGAAGTAGCTGAAGTTAAACAAACTCCGACACCAACATCAAAACCAACGCCTTCACAAACAACACCTTCAATGACTCCTGAACCTATGAAAGTACAAACTCCTGTTCAAAAGTCAACTCCTAAACCGACTCGAACATATAAACCAGAACCTACTCCTCAAATAAATCGTAAAACTCCTGCGTTTCCTTACTGAAAAAATAATGTTATTTTTATTTAATATTAAAATTTTTATTTGATTGAAATGACGACTAAAGTCACTGAAGCAATGAAGCAAAAGTTTTTGGTAGAATACATTAAATCAGGAACTATTCCAGAAGGTTTTTACATTCATACTATGAAGGATGGTAGAGTTCAGTTTAGAAAGATAAAGCAACCATTAGATAAAGAAGGAATTTTGAGAAAGATTAAACTTCATGAGGACAACATTGCTGAACTTAGGAAGAAGTTAGAAGAGTTGGAGAAAGGAAGAGAGTTATAAAGCAATGAATTCAAGATGGTGAAAAACCAGGTGAAAAAAGAGGTGAGATTTCACCACTTCACTTAAACATTATTTTTGCGCTATGTTTTCATACGTGTGAGGGTGGTGATATCATTAATTTTTATATAAATGACAGAACAAAAATAAAGCATATCTACTCAACAGGAATGAGACCCTTACTGACTATGTATTCGTTTAATGCTTGATGAAAACAATGGTACATATTATCGTATGGGTATACACAACGTCTGTTTCCATCGTCGTCGTATATGTAGAGCTCAAATCCAGTCCAACCTTCTTTTGTACAATATGTAGCTTTATTTAAGTATGCACTTATGTAGATAAGGCAATTTTCTTCATCGCTCCAGAAATAATTTTTCGTCTTTGTTGAAATAGTTTTCGTTCCTCTACGTCCATAAGGAATGTATGCAATAAATTTAGCATCATAAGGTATTATAATATATTCAGGGTTTCTTTCATCGTCAATGGGTCTGTCTTTGTTAAAATGCATGTTTCTCAGTTTTACTTGAGTTTTGAATAGTTCACGGAAACGTTCTGGGAAAGAGTCATAGTAAATGTAGTCGGACATGTCTTTGTAATGAAATAAAAAATTTAAAAAAAATAAAAATAAGTTTATTTTTTATTTAGTGAGGACGGTAGTGAATTCGTTAGTGAAGTCGTTAGTGAATTCGTTAGTGAAGTCGTTAGTGAAGTCGTTAGTGAATTCGTTAGTGAAGTCGTTAGTGAATTCGTTAGTGAAGTCGTTAGTGAAGTCGTTAGTGAATTCGTTAGTGAAGTCGTTAGTGGTTAGCGGCTTTGTATATATTTAAGGTTAAGTTGGTGTTACGGTTGTGTTGTAAAATATACGTTAACGGTTTTGTAAAGTGTCAAAACCACTAAGTCGTGTACGGAGGCGCGCAGTGCCACAGTACTGAAGATAGTCATACTAACTAGCTCTTGCGCTCTTGCATACCATTTTATGCCGTCACTGGCAAATTCGCGGAATCAATTGTTTTTCCGTTTTTGTATTTTTTCGTTTGGCCCGACACAAGTGAAAATATACAAGTTTGTCTCACAGCATATTTTGGCTCCATCAATCGCGAACCATCTTATTTTTCAATGGACTGCGCACCTCAAATCACAAATGCTGTTGAAACAGCCATCCCCTTATGCCAGATCATTTGGTGTGGCGTTCATGTGTTGCGCGCTGTCATGAGAAAGGCTGAAAAGTTTCAAGATCGTTCCAACTTCGAAATTTTCTATAACTTAATGAAGTTATTGGTCTTTGGTTCTGAAGAAGAAGAAATTGATCCTGATGAAGTTTACAACAATTTAGAAGAAATTTTAAATGAGGAACCTGCTGCCCGTGAATACTTTGACCAACAGTGGCGCCATCATCTTGACAGGTGGATGCTTCGCTATAGAAATGAAGGAGATGGAACAAACAACATCTCGGAATCACATTTCAAGGTTTTGAAGCACCAGTACTTCCCAGAAAGGCGAAATCTTCGACTCGATGAACTTGTCATCGAGTTATATTCCAGTGTTGTTCCTTCATTCCTGATTAAGTTGCAAATTAAAGGTCTGGATTCAGAGAGAAGTGTTAAAGTTATCAAAAAAGTCACAAGAGATTTCGAAGAAATGACACAATTTAAAAAAGTCGAATGCATCAGTATGCTTGAAGCTGTTCAGAAAGGTCTGAAAAATGATACACTTTGTTGTAAACAGAAATTCATCAAAAGTGACACCTCAGAAAAGCTAAAATATTGAATTTTTGGAACTTTTGATAGAGCACGTTTTTAAATATTAATTAAAGTAAATGTATATTTTGTAAAGATTCTTTTTAATAAAAAAAAATAAAATTTTGAAGAAGAACACAAAATCTTCTGAAAAATAATATCACATAAACGCATATTATTTTCTAATATATAACTATTTTATATAAAAATCAAATTCAATGATCTTAAAAGCGAAGGATAAACCTCAAAATTTACGAATATAATGAGTGGGAATATAATGCTTATCTATCAAAAAAAAAAAAAAAAAAAAAAAAAGGTAGTGGGGCTTCCAGGGGCTGCGCCCCTTCTAGCCCCGAAGATGTTTAGTATAAATGAAGTTTTTATTCGGAAAATTGTTAGTCTTCTGGTGTGAATTCGGAGGACTCTTCTTCTTCCTCCTCCTCTTCTTCCTCTTCTTCGTCATCGTCGGCGTAGTGGAGGAGGACGTAGTTCATCCAAATTCTGTATGGACGTCCTGATTTGGATTTAAATGAGATGGACATATTTTGTGTGAGTGTTATTTCAGTTTCGATAAAGAGTTGGTGTGCTGGTTTGAATATATGTTCGACGTAGGAGAATTTGTGCAACTCATCTTCTCCCAATTCTGTATTGATACAGACTTCGATGAAGTCACCACTGAGAATGTCTTCACCTGTGGGCATATCCACAACAATTAAATGAACGACACAATAGTTGTGAAATTCATTAGTAGGAAATACTGTTGCAGGCGTATTATATGAGGGGAAAAATGTTTTTTCTTCCCCAAATTCATCTGCTACTTCATCTTCATCGTATCCGTTGTTAAAAGCTTTAAATTCATGTACAATTTGAGCAAATTGTTGACGGAGATTTGGTGGCATACGTAAGCAAGCTTGTAACAATGTCCTACCTTCCACACACTCAGCAAATATGGGAAGGTAGGAACATATAATGTCCGTCAATTGGTCCTGGTTGGGGACCAATTGACAGAGTTTTGTGTATGCCGTTATTGTTTCTTTAACGGTATTTGTGTAGATACGGTTATATGGAGTATTTCCCTGGTTGTTAAGGGAAAAATACTCATCCGATTGTAATTTCAATCTTGACCTCAACTCTTTGTTCGGTATTCTTTGGTCTATTCTTAGAGCTGTATTTGTTCGTGCGGGCTGTGGTTTTAAAACATTCGTGTCGAGTTTTAATTGCTTCGAATTGGATGTCGATTTGAATTGGGAGTCTTTTGAGTTCTCCTGAGCTTGGTTCTGTATTAAAGACTGAATAGCAGTGTCAGCTTCTTGTTTTTCGAGATAGTATTCTATTGAATTGGGCTTCACTGTTCGAGACGCGTACATTAGACAAAAATGAACTGTTTTTTTCAAATAAGAGTTTGAGATGAACCGTTTTCGTCAACGGAGACCCCCTCTATTTTTTTATTTTATTTAATAGTTACCGTTGGAAAACCGTTCCATCTCAAATATTGAATGAACTATAAACGTTTTTTGTTTTCTATATATACTTTTTTGTCCAACGGTAAAACTTTTTACACAACGGTTTTTGAGAGTCGTCGCTGTTGACTTTTTTGTAGAGCACTCAAAATAGTATAACTTTGTCCGGACAAATAAGGGTCTATCGTCGCTACAGGAAAAGTTACAGGCGTTCCAAGGAAGTATACTTTGAGAAGACTTTCCCCCTTATAGAATGAGATAGGACGGTTATTTTACAAAACTGACAACACGTTGACCGAGTAGTTTTTTGTGCTGAACAAAAAGTGTCATATAAACATCTGTCAAAAACCGTTTTTTACTTCACTTAAAATGCCACGTAAGCTACGTAAGAATATACGTAAGAGGAAGAGAGCATTGAAACATCCAATAGTAAAACTGACACCACAACAACAGTTGCAACAACAAATTATGAATGACCCCACTATGTTGCAACAAATGTCAAGCAACCCTATGCTTTTAAACCGAGTTATTGGTGCACAGAGTGGAGGTTTAAGAGCGGCACTTTTAGCGAAAATGGCAGGCTATGGTGGAGCTGCAGACGGAACAGCTTATAACCCTCAAAGTCAAATGAATTTGAGTTCACTCAAAAATCAAATAACAGATGTCAAAAAGTCAAACATAGACATACAGAAACAAATAAGTGAAAACGAAAAGAAACTAGAATATGACAGACACACAAAGAAACTCAATGAGTTAAACGTAGAGAAAAAGAAGAAAGAAGAACAACTGAAAGAACTAAGTACAGAGGAATATGCGAAAAAAGTGTCAGAAAAAGCAGCAGAAGTAGCAAAAATGGAACAAGATGTTATAAATTTGAAAAACCATACTACTCAATATAAAGTACTGAAAGATGAAGAAATAAAACAAAAAGCCCTGAAGACATATATGGATAGCGATGAGTATAAAAAAGAAGTTGAAGCAAATGTAAAGGCAGAAAAACTTTTACAGTTGCAAAACCAAACCGTACAGTATGAAAACTTAGCACAAGAAAGTAAAAATAACGACGCAGCCATGCAAAAGGCAATGAAAAGCGCAGAATATATAAAAGCTAACAATGACTGGTTAGATGCCCAAGCCAACGCTAAAGCAGCCCAACTTATAGGGTCAATAAGGACAAAAATACAAGCGGATGAAGACAGTTCAAATGAAGCTTTAATGAATGCTGACTTTAAGAACGCCTTCGAAGCTCTTCATAGTAAGGTGAAACTAGTGAACGACTTCTCATCTGGAAAGAAACTGAAGTCTGAAGGTTTCGACAACGAGTTAAGAGAAGTAGCACAAAATATGACGAAAATAACAGATGCAGCAACGAGACAGGCAGTTCAAAGTGCCTATGACGCCGTTAGAGCAACTGTTGTGGAAAGTCAAGAAAAAGAGTTACAACAGACCAAAACAGACCTAGTAAATGCTTTCTTAAAAACGAAAAGTCAGGTAGGACATTATGCTGCAGATGGAACATATGTGCCAGCTGGTGGAACTTATATACCAGCTGGTGGAACTTATATACTAGCTAGTGGAACTTATATACCACCAAACCCTCCAAGAGAAGCACCTGCACCAGGACTACCTAAAACATTTACATCGTCACATGGACACAGACACAGGCATGCACCAAAACCAACACAACAACCAACACAACAACAACAGTTCAAAACACTGCACCACAACCAACAGTTCAAAACACTGCACACAACCAACAGTTCAAAACACTGCACACAACCAACAGTTCAAAACACTGCACAGCAACAACCACAAACAGAGCAAGGACATAAAAGAAGTAGAGAACAAGGAAACCAAGAATTCTTAAAAATGCTTAAGAAAGTTATGGTTACCCAGATACTCTTGACTTTAGTGACAGATATAAAGAAGCTATTAGAAAGTTCAAGGAAGGAAATACTGACCCGAACCTATTTAGCTTTATGGTCAGCACCAAATGGATATAATTTCAAACCTGGAAAATACAAGCTCGCTAAGGGATATGATTTAATAGCATATCATCCAAATGACATGGATGAATTTACTCCGAGATATTTGGTGTCAGAGCTAAATGATAATTCAACTTCTTCATGAAACGCGTAAAAAATAGAGACGGAACGAAAGAAGAAAGCTTATGAATGCGGATGACGTAGATAGGGAACTTGTTAAAAACGGTCTCGGAATATATGAAATGCCAGCAGATGAGGTACAAGAAACTCCACAGGAAGAAGTTCAGATACAACCAGACATGGAAGAAATAGTTCAGCAACAACAGCTAGAAGAGCCTGAAGGAAACGAACAAGTCCTCCTTTGGAGATGAAGTGGATTCGAAAGATGAAGATTTGAACAGCCGAAAAATCTTGACCCTCAACAAGAGTATGCGGAGAATATGGAATCTTTCCAAGAGTCTAAGAAAAATTCGGCTGACATAGTAGAAGAATATCGAAAAATGTTCGCCGACATACAAAAGACTCCAACATCAGATGAAAATATCCAGCATAGAATGGAAGAACTGAAAGAAAATGTACACAAATACAACAATCCTTTTTACTTACGAGCATATAACGTTCAATCTTTGGATGAACTCGGTGAAAATAAAAGGTTAAATTTCAACAAAACATATAGAAATGAAACATTGTTTAAAGTTCATTCAGAACCTAGCCAATATGGAAACAAACCTACTTTTGTTTCTGCAGACGATGGAACTACAATGAGATGGGGTCATAAAGCTAATCCGGATAGGTGGTTCATAAACTTACAACCACAATTCCAAGAAGTTGTAGACGCAATGGAAGTGAATGGTGAACCAGATGTAGCTGGTATTTTCAGCGCGGCTTTAATGCCATTGAAAGATATGAAAGATGCAGATATTTTGGACCAGTATGAAATGAACATGGCTGATGGAAATATAACACCTGACGTTCTAGAACATTTATCTCAAAGAACTACACAGAACCATAGAGATGGTATATTTGGTGAAGAGTTTAGAAAGAAAGTTAGGGAGAGAGAAGGAAGAGAACCTATTGTACATGACCTTGCAAACGAAAGTTTACAAAATGTCATAAAAACTTACTTTGCAGACAATGAACCGAGAAGGGATGAATATTTAAGAAAACTCAAATGGACAGTACCAAATGAAATGTTAGTATTGAAAAACATGTTCCTTGACAAAATAAAACCAACTACAGAAATAAATGACGCAAGACTGAAACATTGGGTAAAAGCTTTCCCATTCACAAAAGATATTATTGGTAACATGGAAAGAAAACCAGAATGGCTACAAAAACATATATTTGGAAACGAGCTTATTCCATATGGACAAGCTATGTTTGAAGAGCTTGAACCGGAAACTCAGGAAAGAGTCATGCAAACAATACGCGAAGACTCAAATACAAACTATGACAAAATCTTTCTAGGATATAGGTTACCTGAGATGGGCGACCAGAGCCCAAAGGCAAAAAGGACATGGGAAATTTACAACATACTAGGTGAACATGAGGCAAAGATGCAACAACTTGAAGCAGAGGGCAAGTTAAAAAGCGACACCAAAGAAGAAGAGTAGAACAAAGTAAAGCTTGGTCCGAGTGGGTTCTATTATGATATATAAATCCAACTATTCTATATTTTTACCCATATGAAATGTACGCCGCTCAGAATATAACGCCAACAGTTTTGGATGCCATGAACGGAAATGTTTCCGAATGGTATAACGAATGCGACAATGCCATTAGAAGGTCAGAAATAGTTCCTGGAACTTACGAATATACAACTGCTGTTTCTTATGGAAACGTAGGTGAGTTTGGAGAAGGTTCTTCAACAACAGTAGATATTGCTTGCGACAGGTTTCATATTATTTCTATTGACAACTCATTCTTATACGTGGAACAAGACATTGAAATAAAACCTTCTGCCAAGTTGTCTGACAAGAAAGGTTGCAATGGAATTTTCTATGTCGGATACCAATATGCTCCAGAAGTTTTCATGGGATATAAGATATATTCTAACTCTGACTTAGTTCAAACAGTAACATGGGCAAACTATGAATGGTTCGCTTTGAGAAACTCAGTACAACCACAAGCTAGAGAACAAACAGACCAGTATGCAAATATTGAGAAAATAAGAAGACTTGACCCTAACGTTCCAGGAGTTTATGTTAACCTTTCTGGTTCAGATGGAACTGCTGCCACTAAAGTAAAACTGAAACTTAGAGTTCCTTTGTCATCTTTCCTCATCTTCAGGTTTTTAAGATACTTGCCAAACTGGGCAGGAAAAATTTCTATTGAACTTACTCCAAGCAAAAATAACTTAGTCATTGCACCAACACAAGACCCATTCACATTACTGTAGCTGGAACTGGTGGAGCCAAGTTCTGTGACTTTTGCAAAGACAAAGTTGACTTAGACTTTGGTTTCTCAAACTTCAACAATGAAGTAAACTATTATTTCAATGCTGCTGGAACTGCTTGGGACCCAGTTAAGTTCACATGCGAAAAATTTGAATGCAAGAGAATAGAAAGCAGACTTGCAGTCTATATGTTGGACCCAGATATTTCAAATGCTTTAGCTGCCAAATATATTGCAGTTCCACTTATGTTCCCTATACACCAAATATCTGTCAAAGACTTTGCAGGTGAAGTTGGAAACCAAAGTGCTGACCCAGGTGCAAGAACAGATATTGCTTTAACAACTGCAATGAAACATGCAGATACTATGTTTGTACTGTTCAGACGAACTATAAATGACTATTCTTGTTTCTACAACCCCGGTATTAAATATCATATAAACATAGATGGCAAATATTATCCAAGAGAAGAATATTCTACAGTTGAGGATATGAGGTCATACAACTTGACATTAGATGCTATGAACTTTAACAACAACTTCACAACAACCATTAACCCTGAAATGCAAAGTTCTATTATGCCATATGTGAAAGTATGGACTCATACAGGAGGTCAAAAAACTCAATATACAAATGGAGACCGTTCAAACTTTTGGCTTGGCATTCCATTTGCTGACTCAGAAGACTTTATGGGTGGTATTTCAACTGTTGGTACTGTACAAATACAATATACTGGTGACAGAGACGGTCCAGATGAACTGAGAGCAAAGAAGTTTACAAAACCAATAGCACTTTTCACGGAAGATGCTCTTTTGAAGATTCGTTCGATGAAACCTGCTGGGGCTCCTCAGATTGGCATAACGACAGCTTCCATCGAGCAGATTTTGGCAGCAGGTCAGTAAGTTGTTCTTGAACTGACTTCTCTCCGTCAAATATTGACAGTACGCCAGTTTTGACATAATATTGTAAGATAAACTTACCTTTAGAAATATCTGTAAGTTTTGTTGTTATATTTTTGTCAACGTCAAGAACTTTCACCATTTCAGTTATACCAACTTTCTTTGCTTTATGAAAATATTTTGGTTCAGCAAAGACTGCTATTCTATAACATTTTCCATTGTTTGTGTAAAGAACTATTCTGTCAATGTATTTGTATTGTTTGTGTGTAAACTTTGTTCTGCTTCAATTCGAAGAGATACTCAATACGTCCATCTTTTTATTCTAAGTAAAATGTCATTTCCGAAAAATAGAAGCGTAAGTGTTTCAAAAGGTTTAATGGCGGTGGCAGATGTGAAGTTAAATTCACCAACTCAAACAAACAGTCAAAGTGTTGTTGTCAATGTCAAAGACAGAGATGTTGAAGTGGGGAAACCATACGAAGACGAAGATGGTATAACAATTGTTCCTGTAAAAGAACAACCAACATATCCTGAAGTTAGCAGAGACTTAAGTTCTGTTGCAGATATTCGAAACGACTACCAACAACTGAAAGACAAACTTCAAACTCAGGAGAAGATTTGTCAAGCTTTAAGTATAATGTTAAACTTGGTCGAACACAACCCTGTAAAAGTGAACTCATATGTCATTGCACCTCATGAAGTTTTGAAAGAACTATTGAAACTTTTGACAGAGGCAGACGATATAAACATCAAAGAAATAGAACCCGACATTAGTTGCTGTGGTGTTTCATATAATGTCATTGACAAGATATACGTTATGAAAGGAGGTGAAACGTTGAACTTAAAGTATAGTTTCCCAGACGTTATAAAAATATTTGACGACCACAACATTTCATTAAAATTTATTTGCTAAGTAAATGGCAGAAGATATAATGGTTTATACTATTACGACTAAAAACCCTGAGTCATATAATTCTATAACAACAAACTTACAAAGTCCTCAAGGACGATATTGTAAACTAACCTTAAACACAATGACGACTAAAGCCTGTTTTGCTCTTTTGACACCAGAAGACTTTATTGTTGTGAATGGTAAAAAATACTCCTTTGAAGATACTTACTCAGATATACCACCAACAGGTTTTGTTGACTTATTTAATACTTTAAGTACGGGTGTAACATGTGCTGCAACTAGAGCAGGTTTCATTATGTTTGGATGTCCGACTGAGTTTACTATAAACGATATGAGCTATAATACAAAACTTATTTCTGGTTTTTACTACCAACAGTTTCCTATAACAGGAAAAGGTGTCATACAAGGAATGTCTATTCCATTGACATTAAGCACACCAATCTTATATATTGTTTCAAACTTAGGTTCAAAGTGTTATTCGAATGTCGACAGAAACTATTATGACCAAAAGATACTTATGCGTATAAACAATACTTTCTCTGCTGGTTTGCCTATTGTTCATTCGAATGCAGAATTTTCAACCTTAGTGAACTCAAACACTTTGGCAAGTATAACGTTGACATTAGTTGACGCAAACTTTGTTCCTGTAAAACTTTTATGTCCTATGTATTTGTCAATGACGGCAGAAAGTTTCGAATTGGAAGATGCAACTGGTGAAAGTATTGTATTACAAGAACAACTTCAACAACAAATAGCTCAAGAACAACAAATGCAACAAATGCAACAACAAAGTCAAGAATAAAAAAAAATATTTTTTTTATTTTTATAAAAATGTACAGAATAGATGTTTCAGATTTTTATGACTTCCAAGCATTCAGAAATATGTGTCCATTTCGAGACTATAACAAAGCAGTCGAGAATTTGAAACGTTTAGTCATTTATGTCGACTCTGCCCCAGAATGTTATGTCATGAAAGAATGGGATGTTGTCTTTAACAAACCAAGAGCAACAATAGTTTCAGAACAAGAATGTAGACAGAAACTTAAGAAAATAAAAGTCGTACAAGTTGGCATGAAGATGTTAGATGCTTGGGATATCTTATTGTCAAAGTTAGAAGATTTTTCAGTTCGAGGTATAAAGTTCTATACACCTTCTCCAAACTTCTATTCTATCTTCACTGGATATAAATACGAACAAGTAGAATGGAAAGAAAATATTATAGAAGCTTGGTTAGACCATGTCAAAGAAATTATATGCAATGGAAACGAAAGAGTCTATGAGTATATCTTATGTTGGTTTGCAAACATCTTACAACATCCAAGTGCTAAAAATGAAACTGCTCTCATTATAATTGGAAAACAAGGAACTGGTAAGAATACTTTCTTTACAGATATTTTATGCAAACTGTTAGAGGGCTATTCGAACCCGAATATGACAAACTTAGAAAACATCTGTGGCAAGTTTAACTCCTCAATAGAGAATATGAAACTTATAGTTTGCAATGAACTTCAAAGTATAGATACAACAAAAGTTTTGAACTCAGATGCTTTGAAGAGTCTTATAACAGACAAAGTTGGAGTTGTTGAAAGAAAGTATAAAGACCAAAGAGTTTGTGAAAATGTTGCAAACTTCATTATGGTTTCAAACAATGTGTTCCGATGAAGTTAGAAAGTTCTGACAGAAGATATGTAGTTGTCAGAACGTCAGATTCTCATATGCAAGATACAGAATATTTTGACGACTTAGCAGAAACTTTGACATCTGACTTTTACAACCACTTGTTCTCATATTTTATGACATTAGATATTTCAAGTTCAATCCAAGACAAATTCCACATACCGAAGAGAGACAAACATTGTTAGAAGCAAACAAGAGTGTATATGAACTGTTCATAGATGAAACTGACTTTGAGTGTTTAGATGAAAGGTCATTGTACGATTCGTATAAACAATATTGTCAAGAATATGGTTATATGACAGCGTCTAAACGAACATTCTTGGCAAATGTCAAAAGTCTTTTAGATGTTCAGAATGGTGTATATACAAAGAAAAATTTTTTATGAGTAAATTTTAAAAAAAATATTTTTTTATCCGATAGAAAAGATGGCAAAATTCATCTCAGTAAACAAGTACATGTCAGGACTTAAAGAAGAACTAGACCCATTCACATATTTGAATGTTTACTTCTACCATTTTGAAAAGTCTTCATTCAGCAAAGTTTGGAACATCGAACCAGTTAAGTTTGCTATTGTGACTAAAAATGGTGCGAAATTTGAAGACTTAGACATAGAAGGTTTGTTAGCAGTCAAAGAAAGTTTTGACAGAAGGTTCTCAAACCTTAAAGAAGGCAAAGCATACAAACTTGTTATACCTTATGAACCAAAGAAAGCAGACGACTATGAATATTATGAGTCTAAGATAGTTGAAGTTCAAGGTAAATTGGGTAAAAAGATTTTAGAGTCTAAGCCAGTGTTTGCTCCTAAAGAGGAAGAGAACATTGACATTGACCCAGAAATGTTCTAAAAATAAAATTTTATTTTTACATGTCAAATTTCTTTTTCTCTGGAACTGGTTCAGGTTCTTTCTTCTCTTCTACTCTTCTTTCTCTTTCTTTTCTTTCTTTTCTTTTCTCTCTTCTTCTTCTCTGGTGGAGTTATGTCAAATTTCTCAACCATATTTATGTAAAAGTTCTTTGTCCTTTAATAGCTCATCTATTCTGTTTTCTATTTCATCTTCAAGAACAGCGCATGTGTCTTCTTTGCATTCTAAGAACTTTTGTTGGACTTCATCTTTCCAAGGCGTCATCTCTGTCAACAAGTCTGTCATTGACAAATTTTAAGACTGCTCTTTGTAATGTTTTATGGTTCTTGTCATATTCCCAGAAACAGAACTTTAGAACAAATTCACCTTTCTTGTTTACACTATGTAAGATTTTATGGTCGACAGATGTTTTGCTGTCGAAAAGCTTGTCTCGAATATAGATAGCGAAATCGCTAGACATTTTCTAAAAGATAAAAATTTTAATTTTTCTAAAAATATGTTAGAAAAAAAGTTTGCTGACATTGACAAGAAATTTGAGAATGTTTTAAACAAGAACAAGAGGAAGTTAGAAAATGCTCAGATAAAACCTATACATGACAAGTTCTTATTTGCTCAGAATGGTATAACAGGTCTAATTGCACCACCTGGGTCGGGTAAGACTTTCACTTATCTTAAAATGGCTGCACAACAACAAGAACTAGATGAGAAGAACCCATTCTATGAGTTAGTTGTCATTTGTAGTACTTCTGGTCAATTTGACCAAACCGTCAATTCGTTCAAAGATATTATAAAGAAGTCTAAGTTAGTATGTATAAAGGATACTGAGTTGTTAGATTGGATAAAGAAGTACCAAAGAAGAGTTTTGAAGTATAATGCTATAAATGAGTATATAAATTCTAAGTTTAAAGACCCAAATGAGGAAATGCAGAGAATATTAGAGAAGAAACACTTCAGAAACAAACAGAAAGAGATAGAATACATTTCGAAGAAATTGCAATCTTACGATTGGAAGACTTACCCTCATAGATGTCTTCTTATCTTAGATGATTTGCTTCTCATCCTTTGTTAAAGAATAGAGAACAAGATATGTGTCGAATTCTTAAGAAGCTCAGACACTTTAACATCTCAGTCATTGTGTACAGACAGCAAAGAGTTTAAGTAAGGATGTTAAAAGAATACTTACTGACATTATACTTTTCCCCGGATTGTCCGAAGACGATTTCATGGAACTTATGAAAGAGTCCATGGCAGGTAAGTTTGACAGACATGAACTATGGGAGAAGTACAAAGTCATACAAGACCCTCATACTTCTTTCAGAATTCATATCTACGCAAACAAAGTTCAAATTGTAAAAAGTCAAGCTTGAAAAATAAAGAGTTCATTTACTCTGCTTGTTTGAAGTTGTCAAAATACTCTGTTATTTTTTCCTTTAACAATGGCAAATCTTCTTTGAAGGTAAGTATTGTACAACCTTTCATATCATAGTGTGTTTGAGGTAACGTATCTTGAACTATTTGTTTCACATCTTCATTTGGGGTCATTGAAATCGGTAAGTTTTCGCGATAGAACCAATTTCTGTCAGATTTGTAAATCTTAGCAAGGTCGTAAAAGCTTTTGTTGTTTCTTCTGACTAAATGCAACATAACCATATCTCTGTCTTCTTCATTTTCCATCTCTTCAGTATAAATCATATACTTATAGTTCTTTTCCTTTCCTTTTGGTACCGAACGTGGTATTCTTTTCTGAATGCTTTTGTCTTTTGCTTCAAGCTTGTTCTCTAGCTCTTCACGTTCTTGTCTATGAATTTCGTCAAGAAGTCTGTAAATATACCAAGCATAACGAGGCGAAGCCCACATTGCAACAGCATTTACAAGAAGTCTATGTACATAATATCCTCTTAAATTTATTGGCAAATTTTTACGATTTTCATGTGTTTTATGCAAGGCCGAGAATTCTCGGTCTAGAGAAATTTCACTCAAAAGTTCTTGTGTGCTTCGGTTTTTGAACCAATCGTCTGCGTGTTTGGTATCTGGAGCAAAACATGCAGTCAAAATACTTTGCATTTGGTACATATCGTCTTTGACCGAACGAATTAGACGCAATTGTTTGTTAAACTGTATGTACTCGTATTCTTCATTTATAGCTTCATGGACTATAACTGTTGTTGTGTTCTCGTTGTTGACATATCTGTCTTTATATTCCGGATAAAAAAATAAAAAAAATAAAAATAACTTTATTTTTTATTTCGGGAAAATTCATGAAAATTCATGAGGGTAGAAAAGGGTGAAAAGGTTAGATCTACCTTCACCTAAATTATTTTTACTGAATTCAGCAACAAAATTCAAATTGTAAAAAGTCAAGCTTGAAAAATCTAAGTGTTTAGTCTTAGTAAGATGGTAGCTTCTTAAAGCAAATACCATTGCTGAGTTTTATGTACGTGAAGAGAAGTACAATGAATTCAATTACGAGTACAATTGCAATGACAACTAAGGCAACTATTTTTGTCTTTTGCCAGCAAGGGTACTTCTTCTCTTCCAATGGTTCGGCAGAACTATACTCACTCATGAGAAATGCCAAAACGGTTTAATAGAAAAAGTGTCATTTTTTCATGTCCGAAGACTCGAAGGTGCAACACTTCCAAAATACCGACGAACTCAGAAGAGCAGCATGGCAGTATCTTCTTGACAACTTCTTTGAGTTCTCCAGGTACACCTTGGAAAATGCTGAAGAACTCCGACACAGAGAATTTGGAGAAATTGCACTCCAATACTACCTTGACAAACAAAGGGTAAACAAAGGGTAAAATAAGACTAAAAACTTAACGTTTAAAAAGTGACATTTTTATGAGCTCCGAGTCACCGAGAAAACTTGGTCAGATGTTAGCAGCTTACTTCCCTGAGGAGGATGGAAGCGTTACATACATCAGGTTCAAAAACAACGAACCTGGAATTGCGTACAAAATTCGCAATTACATGACCATGGAAGAGTACGAAAGGTTCCTACAAGAGAAACCAGCTCTAAACAACTCAGAAAAGAAAGAATAAAAAGTTTAACTCGTAATTGTTTATTTTTTTACTTGTATGGGCAAGCTGCAAGAATGAAGTCGACTATCTCAGTCTTTGTTTTGACGAGCTGGACGGCTCTTGCGAGTACGTCTGTTTTGCGGTCTCCAGCTGGTGTCTGACCTTCGTAATTGCGCATGTTCTTGAGAGCTCCAACTGTAAATGATTGTAGGATGAAGAGTCTCTCAGACTGCTTGAGGTAGTCTTCACGGTCACGAACCGAATCTGTGGTACGAGTCGAATCGGTCGATTTGAGGGAAGAGACTGAAAGCCTGTCGTCTTCCATGGGGCTGTAGCATACTCTTTGCGTAAGCGGTTCAGACCTTCTTCGAACTCTTGGTCTCTCTTGGATTGAGATTGGAATTGTGGGGCAGGGTTTTGCTAAACATCCAAGGGTTGGGGAAGTAAGGCATAGGCTGAGGAGGGTAGTTCGGGAAGCCTTGTGGTGGGTAGTAACCTTGAGGTGGAAATTGGTAGTAAATCGGAGGTACTTGCTGGAACTGAGGTGCAGGGCGGTGGTGCTTTAGGTTCCTCTGGTTTGGGAATGGACTCGGTTGGTGGGACGTCGGACATTCGTTTGTGTCCTGTGGGATGGAAAATATTTTTCTGTCGGAAGAAAAACTTTTTCTGTCGGAAGAAAAAACTTTTTCTGTCGGAAGAAAAAACTTTTTCTGTCGGAAGGAAAAACTTTTTCTGAAGTTCGACCAAAAAGTTCTCAATTTTCGAAAAATTTGAATGGTTTACGGACGGACAACTGGAAGAGTTCTTCCTGTCGTCGGGAAAAATTTTTCCCTTTGTCCGGAAAATTTTTTCAAGTTGTCGGGAAAAATATTTTCCTGTCGGATGGAAGGACTCGGAATACCAGAAGGATTTGACGAGGCAATTTACCTTATAGAGATAAATGAAGTTGTTAAGCAGTACTTGCGCAGGGTAATGAAGCCCAAGGTCAAGTTCACCCTATTTCTGGAAGGGCTGCCTTGAATCTCGAGACTTCGACTGGAATTCCAATTCAAATACCAGAAAAAACTCCTTTCGACGACATAAAGGACGCCAAAAGAGAACTCTTGTTAAGTTCCTAAAACAAACGTCCTTGGATAAAAATACCAAACAAGGAGAACCCCCTACCCCATATGAAATTGGCAATTCAGTCTCTCCTTCACTTCTCGGTCAGCCGTTCTACATAACCTGTGAAGGCGACATCCAACCAGTTCAGTCAACCTTAACGTTTTGAGTTAAAAACATTTTTTTTCATTTTTTGAATGAAGCAAGTTAAATTCGTCCCACACCAATCTCAATGGACCGATGAAGAGTTTCAAGCAGGTTGAAGGTGTTGAGAACGACATAGACGGCGAACTTGAAGGAGCTCAAACCACAATTGCAACCAAAATTGCACAAGTCAAGAACAGATAGCTCCACTTAAAGCTACCAAAGCTACTCTTGACCTCATGGATAGTTACCGTTTAGATGTCAAGAGTGGAATAAGACCAATTAAAATTAAAACTTCTAAACTACGAAGCTATACTCCAAAAGTTAGCAGAAATGAGAAGACTTTACCAGAGCTACTTACATGTAAGGGACTTACCTTCAAGCAGTCCGACCAAAGATGAATTTTTGACATTGTCCCAATTTTGTCCGAAAGTCAGCTCAGATGTTTCGAACTGCTCCCAACATATCCGGATATGAACGTTTGCCTGAACTCTTCCGCAATCTCAAAAAACGTTTTTGGTTCTCATGTTCAAACTTTTATCGGAAGAGACAACAAACGTTCAGAAGAAGAACAAGATATTATTTAAACTTGTTGTATGACATAACTGTCATAACAAGCTTTTTGAAGTAAAACCGCCATTCTCAAACCACTTCATTTTTTCGATGTCCGAACAAGCACCGAAGCCGAACACAATAGCAGATGTCCTTTCAAGGTTGCCAGACAAGCGCCCAGTTCAAATTCAAATTGCCCAATTGAAAGCTCATCTGACAAACACCATTAAGACTCTCCAAAGTAGTCTTATGACAGAGATGACCAATCTCAAAGCCGATGTCCTCATGAACCAAGCTTCCAATGAGAAATGCCTGAACGATTTCACGGAAACCTTGCGCAATTACGAGAGAGAAACCGAGACCTTGCCAGACTCATATCTACCGTTTCTTCGAAGAGATAGACGCCATCTGGAAGGTACTCGGAAAGGACAGAACATGCAACACCGTACTTCGTGAGTACCAAATTGAAGAAGGAATTGTCGAGGAAAAGAGGAAGAAGAGGAAGAAGAGGAAGAAGAGACACGAAGAAGTTCCGAAGCCGCTACATGGCAACCCTTGTTGCCGATGACGTTACGAAATTTCCCAACCCTACCCATACCAAATCCGCAACAAGGCGACAGGCAAGGTTCTTACCCCAGTCCTCAACAACTTGGACACTTGAACCTTAACCTTCGGAATCGCGGTTCAATCTCCATGGGCAAGCTTGTCGCAATTCAATGGGTTCCAAATCCAGGCAAGAAGACGAAGGTCAGACACATTGACGGTGACAAGCTCAACAACCGTAAGGAGAACCTCGAGTGGTTCTAAGAGTAAAAAAAATTTTATTTTGGGGAAACCCCAAGTAAATTTAGGTGTTTATTTGGATAAGTATGTTAAATTAAGGGTAATTTGCAAAATTAGTTCCCGACCTTTGAATTGGGCTCTTTCGTTATCCCAGTTGCGTAGGAGGTCGTCCCAGAGGAGTTGGTAGAATTGCCAATCCAAGGACGATTTGTCCTCCCAGGCATTGAGGATGTACTGCTCGTAGAGTTCATTGACCTCTGCCTTGCACCAGACACCCTCTCCCTTGGAACGTAAGGCTTCTTCGAAGTGCTCGAATGCGATTGGCTGCGTGACCATCCGAAATGACACTTTTTGTCCGTTTGGTCAATTTCGTGTCTCGTGCCATAGTCGATGAAAAATACAGACAAACAGGTTATATATGAGTTGAGACCAAGAATGGTGTAACTCGACCTGTCCGATTCAAAGACTCCGAGGGCGACCATGAAATTAAACGGAAATTAGCTAGGAAGGAATATAAAATGGACTGGTTGCCACCACCTCCACCTCCACCACCTTTACCTGTTCCTCAAGTAAATAAGCCTTTCCCGTTCCCAAGAATTCCCACATTTTAATTCAAATTCGAAAAAAATTTTTTATTTCATGCAATGTTTTTATTTCTGTGCCGTCTTCAAGTATGCCCCAGTACTTACGCTTGGAGAGGACATGAACTTCGGTGAAAATTTTGTCCAATTTGAATTGACCCATCTTTCACGACCATGCCCATTTCAATGAGTTTGTTGTACCCTTCTTCGTTCGTCATGAGTGCGTCAATGTTCTCATAGTAAACCTTCACTTTGGATTTGACTTCGGAGAAGAATTTGTTGTAGTTGTCAAGGACTGCCTTTGCGAACTGAGGGTAAGACCAATGTTCGACAATAGGTTTTAATGTGGTTACTAAGCCACTTTGACCTTGAGTGAATTCGTACTTCAAAACAAAAGGAGAAAACCTTTCAACAAAGTTGTCGACCTTCTCATAATGTTTACTCTTCATCTCTTGAGGTTTCTTAATGGAATATCCCCATGTCGAATTCATAAGCAATTTGAGTGTCATTGCAAGTTTGGGGTTTGAAGCTTTCCTAATATCATACAGTTGTTGTATGACTTTTCCAACTGTATAGTTCCTTCCCGGGAACTCACCATCTTCGTTTGGAATTCCAGTCGGAATATATTGGACAAACCTCATGTATGCAGCGTTAAGGTCACATAGTATATCTTTTCATCTGAGTCGAACTTGTCGCAACCAATTGGTCCAGTTTGTGGAAATTCAAGTGAGTCTCTTATCTTCTGAGAAACTTCTCCTGTTATCTCATAAACATCGTCGAAGCAACCTGTTTCATATAAAACCTTCTGACCTAACTCAGATGCTCTCCAATACAATTTGACGTCAATTGGATGTCTCAATGGAAGTTTGTTTATAGCATCTTGAAGTTCTTGCAACCTCATTGGAAGTTCTTCTGGTTCAGGTTGGTATCCGAACAATCCAACTCCTTGTGGAATTGTGTACTTCTTTTGTACTAGAACTTTGTCTGGAACAACTTTTGGTCTTGCTAACAGTGAAAAGTTTGTTTCGTCTTTTGGTACAAAAAGTTTCTGTCAGCTTGTCATCTGGAATTGGTTCCAAACAAACCTTTCTCGAAAAGAATGTTTACAGCTCTGACAATGTTGCACTTGCCTTTTCCGAACAATGGGTTTGTAAGACTTTCGTTCAACATGAAGTGGTTGTGGACAATTGCAATCTTCAACCATGGTAAATTGAACTCAACAACATAGTCGTCATGTGAAGAACCTTTAGCTGTAGGTATGTTGACTCGGATATTGACATTTGCCAACGGTGCAATTTTTGCCAATTGACCTCTGAGAATGTACCTTGTCTTCACACATGACTCAAGATACTTCATCTTCTCATCTGTAACAAGACCAGAGTTCCTGAGACATGTAAGAATGCAAGGTTCATTGACAATTGTTTCAATTGAATTGTAAATTCCATACCTTGTCAAGTCAATGTCAGACTTATTTATGAACGGAAAGTATCCAGCATGTTGTCTGACTGCTTGAGGGTTAGGTTGGTACCATTCGAACTTGACACTTGCAATTCCTTCAATTGCATTCAAAATGTCTGAGTCGGAGTCAACCATTTGTTCTCTCTTTGTAGTCTTGAAAGCGTCAAGAAGTTTTGCAGCTGTTTGTTCATTGCCATTTGCATAGTAAATGTGACCATCCAAATCCGTTATGGTCAATCTGAGATTGTTCCTTTCTTATTTCCGTCTTGAATATGCAGCAAGTACACCCATGAAGCCTTCTTTTTCTTTCCTTCGTCAAAGTTTACTGTAAAGGTTCGACCAGATGTAATTTGACTTCTAACTTCACATACTTTTCATATGCATATCTTGTTCTTTCCATGGGAGCATGACCATCTCTGCACTACCTTTTTCCTTCTCAAAGGATGCAATTGTTCGTTCATTTCCAGTAGAATCTGGCAAAGCCGTCGTGTCCTTCAACTTGAGGTTCACTAACATCGAAAGGCATGTCCATAAGACGTTCTTCTTCTAACCTCTCTAGTCTGTTTGGATAATTGGCACGTGCTGTTTCCAAATCCATTTCGTAGCGAAGACCAGCCAGTTTGTCATAGACTTTTATGGGTCTTCCCTTCCTATATTTAAACTTCTTCGAAACTCTCCAACCATATCTTTGCAACTCTGCTTTATT